AAATTTCTTATTCATTATACAGAACATATTGAGGAAATATACTTGGGCAGGGGGTAAAAATAGTATGAAATCGAGAAGAAAACATAAACTTTTCAGGAGCTAGAAATAAGAGAATTTGACACAGAGCATGAATTCAAGAGATTGTTCAAAGGAACTTTCCAAAATCCTCTTTATTGAACTCTGTACTTACTCTGTGTCCTTGTATTTTCATATAAATGCTCAAAAATGAAGCAAATTTACCAAAAGGAGCATTCTTTTCTTCTCACAACATTTGCTAGAAAATTGCTTGGAAAATTCTGAGATGTTCCGAGACTAATATAAAGAAAAACACACTTCAGTCAGTATCATGAATTATAACAGTACTTATTTTTATTTATATCAAAGCAGCAAACACTGATGAAATCCTTATGAAGTATAATGCACGCTTTTCTCATGTTGTAGTTGTGGCTGTGTTCACGCTCTTGTTCCTCCTCATTTACACATTTAAGTTGTGCCTTCTTCTCTTAGAGATTTTTCTTTGTTCAAAATATTATTTTCTGGCATTTCACAAATCCAAAACATATTGAAGAAACAGGGCACATCATTCCAATTTTGCCTAGGATTTGAAGAGTCTCGTATGGTGGCGCAGTCCTCCACTGTAGCTATGTTGTTGGGCTCCCCTATGTCCCAGAAGCTGAAAGAAAAGGACATGGATTTTAAATCTCAGCTACAAGAGATAAAGTGACTGAATATACTAGGCAAATTATATTTGTGTTATTTAACTTAGCAAAAATTTCATGAGGCAGGTATTATAACCTCCACTGTATTGATGAAGAAAAGGAATCTCAAAAAAGCTAAACCATTTGTCTAAATCATAGTTTGTGAGTAGTGAAGCTGAACTGGATCTATTCTGTCATGCTCCCCCATACAGTTAGACCCAGAATGAGAAGTTATGGGAACTAATGTCCTGACTGATTTGTTTGTTTGTTTGTTTGTTTTTGCACTCATACCTTGCAGTAACGTAGGTGCACACTTCAACAGTGTTACCATGCCATAGTAAAGCAACATACAGCCGCTGTGGAAAACAGTATGGAGGGTCCACAAAACATTAAGAATAGAATTATCACATAGCCCAGAAATCTCTCTTCTGGGTATCTACCCCTAAAATTTGAAAACATGTATCTATAAAGATATATGCGCCTCAATGTTCATTGCAATACTATTCATGGTGGCCAAGACATGGAAGAAAACAAAGTGTCCTTCGATAGATGATTGGATAAAGATGTGTACATATGTACAATGGAATATTACTCAGCCATAAGAAAAGATGAAATACTGCCATTTGTGACAACATGGGTGGATCTTGAGGTTATCGTGCTAAGCGAAATAAGTCAGACAAAAAGTTGAGAACCATATGATTTCACTCATATGTGGGATATAAAACTGAAAGCAACAAACGAAGAAGACAAAGAAAAACTCATAGACACAAACAACAATTTAGTAGTTACCAGAGAGAAAAGGAGACAAGAGTGAGGTAGATAAGGGTAAAGGGAATCAAATATATGGTGACAGAGGTGATTGGACTTTGGATGGTAAACACACAATGCAATGTACAGATGATGTATTATTGTATCGTATACTTGAAATCTATATAATTTTATTAATGTCACCCCAATAACTTTTATTAAAAAATAAAGTATTAGAGCATGTAGGCTATATTGTCAGAGCTAATTAACACCTCCTGACCCTTAATTTTCTTAAAGGCTAAGTGAAGAATAATATTGATGTATCTCAGAAAGGTGTAACTTAAGTTAAATGAAAAATGAAGGAGATGAAAACTTTGAAAACTCCTAAATGCTGTGCTTTAATGCTATCAAGCCATTATTAAGGAGATTATCAAGGGAATTCCCTTTTTTACCCCATAAGAATCTTGTCTTTTTGAAATCACTGTTTTTGTTTCATTTACTACAGTTTGGGGGCATACGACTCTGAATTCCACTTTTTGTCTCTGCTGCATTTCCAAAGAATTAGTCTTCAATTCTAATTCTCTTTTCATTTTCATCTGTTTCCCCTTTATTCATGAAATAGTCTTAGGAAATGAGAGCGGTAGAGCCTCGTGCTTCTCTTTTCTCTCCTTGCATCTAATATTACCAACGATGGACCTAAGTATATCTCACAGAACATAAGGAGCTTCTGAGAACTCCCTTCAACAATGGTTTAACTTTAAGATGTGGGTAGTATTAAATTCTTCTACAAGAAAGAAATTACCTTAGAGACTTGATTAAAGGTGTGCCATCTACCCATTTCCACTGATTCTCAACCACCTGGTCTGTCAGCCCAATATAAAACTCTCTCTTTTCAGGTTTTGCATGGAAAAGGAATTCCTGATGGAAGATACACAATAAAAAAAATAGGACATCAATTATTTCAATAATGAACAAATGTTGAAGATAATTGTCATTAGAAGACATAAAGTAGGATCTGGACTAAAAATGACAGATAAACAGCCCTGAAATATTAAGATCATGGGGGATTATCTTCTGATTTTTTTTTAAATAAAAATACACAAAACATAAAATTAAACCACCAAAAAAAAAACCTTCAACAGAGGAGTTTCTCAACAACACATTCAAAGTTTATCTACTATTATTTGTAGCAAAATCACTGCATAGATTAGCACAAAACATTATTAACCACAGCTTAAAAGTAATGGATAATATTTGCTTTCTCTTTTTCATATAGGTTTATAAACATAATCGTCATTCCAAATTGGACTCCCAACCTCTTTTTTCCTCTGCCTCACTAAAAAGGAACTAGAATTGAAATTTCTTTTTTCTTAGGCTATTCTAGTAATGAAAATAAATTAAAGTAGATATTCACTTACAGAAAAAGTAATAGCATCCATTCAGCACATTCATTTAAAAAATATTAATAGCGGTCCAAACACTGTGCGCATGTATGGGAAAAGGCATAGACCGTATGAAGAATGTTATAGTGACGCCGGGGGAGGCTGTACTTCAACTACCTGCTCCTCCTGTGTGTTGATAACCACCAGATGAGCTCTCATGTTTGAGCAGTTTTTTAAACTTGCTGTCCAGGACATGGTGTCAGTAGAAAAGAAATAGCAGCTAGATTGAAAATGTACCCAGTTTAAGGGACAACAATTCTTGACTGAACCTAAGAGGAGAGAAGTTTCCATGAGAGTCCCACATGAACTAAGTAAGAAAACAAAAGTTTTCCTCATGAAGTCCATTATTTACAGTCAGAAGCCTTGGAACCCCTTGCTCACTCCCCCTCCCTCGGAACCCCACATCTTACTATCTAAGACTTTAGATAATTCCTATGTCAATAAACATGAAACAGCAATTTCTTGTCTTTTGAGACATAATCTTTATTTTATAGGTATACCAGTAAATGTAACCATATATACAATCTATCTCAGTTATGCTATTGATATAGAACCCTGTTACATGTTTTTAGACTGCCAAGGTCAAAGGAAGTTATGCCTTTTATCTGAGTGACCTCTAAGCAATCATCTTTCATGTTGCCCAAGCAATGTACCCTCAACAAAATCTCCAAACTGGTTCTACAGATGAGATAAATTTCTTAGAATTATAGAAATTAAGCCTTAAAATTTTATTAAAACCAAACAGTCCAATCTCTCTCAAAGTAATGGTGAGGAAATTATAGCCCAGAGAAGGACATCATTGTCTAGTGTCATACAGCATTTTTCTAAACAAGTTTTAGAACAGGACTATAGATGAGTATAGAAAGTATATTTCTGAGTTTTTCTGAATTCCCTATTCTACATATTTTTTTCCTTCACTCCATTTTGGAAGCAGGTGATGAATGAGAAAAAGTGCAGTCTGGGGATAACACCTTCCACTTTTAGATTTACCGTTTAGACACATACCTCAAAATTATTTTAAAAGTTTGCTATAATGCCCCTAAGCTTTCTCACCCCAATGCTAATTGCATTTCCAAAGGTCTATTTCTGTCTTCTTAATCAACTTCTTATCATTCTCTTATAGCAGAGACAAGATTTTACATTTTGTTTTTGAAAAACAGGATCTACTCCACTACTTTACTTATCTCCAAATCAATCTAGAAGCCAGAAAATGTTGATATATAAATTTTGATGTTCAAATTGAAGGACTGTTATACCTGATCCATCATTGTAGCAGGAGAGTTCCATGAAATCGTCATGTGGCTGAAAGTTTATCTCACCACAGAGTTGAAAGATGTGATATGTCACTGTAAGGAGAGGGGCATAGTTAATGTTTATTACTTTTTAAATAAGAAAATAAATTTTATCATTTTTGTACTTATAACAAAAGTGCCAACAATTATTATGATATTTTTTTACTATCTACTTTTCCTTCTGCATGGAGAAGCACTGAGATTTACTTAAAGACAGAAGAGGGAATTCATATTTTATGGTTTTCCCAATTTATGAAAAAGAATGTACTTTATTTCAGGCCCAAAGGCCTAGAGAAAACAAATGTGTTTGCATTCTTTCTTATGCCAAGTCCAACCCTCTCTACCCTTCCTTCCAAAAACTGATTTGTTATGTCTCTGGCTATGATCTCATAGAAAGGGTTTCACTAATGATGGGAGTACCTAGGAGGACTCAAGGCCACCAAGGAGGTGAAAAATGTTTATCATGAAAAATGTGTCAGAAGTCAATGAAATTTGGTCACAGCTCTATACTAGTTGAGGTTTCTGGCTTGAGGAAGAACCTGGAGGTAGATAGAGGAGAAAAGTGGAATAGAAATATCCTTTGTAGGAGGAGAGAACACACAGGCAGCAAGGAAGAATTTACTCCAGATATTCTCCAGGGAAATTAAATTTGACCTTCAGAACTCACCAATACATCTGATGATAAAACAGGCACTGAGTAGTAGGATGGAGATCCCAGCAACAGTCCACAAGAACACTTGGGAAGAGAAGCATGCCCTCTCTGTAGAAAGATACAAATATGGTCAATCTTCCTTAAGTAAGCTATGAAAGAAATCTAAGTAATTCTTCTTCAGTCTTGCTTATTTCCTTCTACTTGCATTACCTATATTGAGTAATTTTTGAACTTCAGCATGTATCAGAATTATTTGGAGGGCTTGTTAAAAAACATACTACAGAGCCTCACACCCAGAGTTAAGAATTCACTAATGTAATATTGTATGCCAATTGTAATTGAAAAATAAAAAATACATATATATATATTTAAAAAAAAAGAATTCAGTTGGAGCTGGTATGGAACCAACAAGTTACTAGTTGCTGCTGATACTGCTGGTCTGGGACCAAACTTTTAGAACCACTGGAGTGAATAATCCATTATTAATTTTAAGACTGATTCATTAAGTTGAACAGATGTGCAATTTTCCTTTCTAAGACTCAAAATTTTCTCCCTTCCTTCCCTACCTTTCTCCTTTTCTCCCTCCCACTCTCTCTGTTTTTCTTGTCTCTCTCCTGCTCTTCTTTTTAGTGTCTCATTTTCCAAGCCCTTTGTACATCAATCAGATAAAACACTGACAATCATCCAGTAGTTCTCCTCCTCCTTCCCAATACACATTTTTATAGACAAAGAACTGAGTTCCAGAGGAGTGAAGTGACTCGCCCAACCCGACACACGGAATTATAGAGAGGGCAGAAACAGCAGTCTGGTAGCTCTCCCTGAACTCAAGTCCAGCATCATTCCAGCATAACATACAGTCTTCTAATCACTTTTTTATTTTCCTCTTTTTCATTCTCTGTTTTTCTGTCCGTCTCTTTTCTTTTACTTTACTGCATATTTTTCTATCGTCCTGCCCTTTAACATACTTATCACCTCTTCCAAAAAAAGAAAATCTATGAAAGAAAAAGGAGAATCGCAAATTTTACCTGTGCATTGTGATGCAGATGATTTGGATGAATTCATTGTTTTTCTATTTCACTTTTTCCGCTCTCCCTCTTCCTCTCTCTTTCTCTCCTCAGTTTCTGAGTGTTTTGTTGGTAAGATTCAAGGAAAATAAACCTTGAAGAGTGAACACTTTATCTGTATTTCAGGAAGTTCGACACTGACATGAGAATATTGACTTCTTCTGTGGCTTTGCGTTCAGATCAGGATTTCCTTTCTTGCATAAGGGATACAAGGGAGTTTCCTGGGCAACCAGCTGTCCTCACTCCAGGCAACAACAAAATGGGGAAAAGATGAAGTGGTAAGTATCAACAGAGGGAGGCTAATCATGGGGAAATATGAGAAACTTCAAAAATATTGTTTTATTTTGGTGGATAAAATTTCTCTGCTTTCTTCCAGGCCTAACTCATCCCTCAATATTTCCTTGACACTTGTGGGGCCCACCTCTGCACTCCAGATCTCACTTTCAATTATTACCACCACAGTTAACAAGTTCAATTGTTCACTGAAAAGGAGACAAACTCCAAACCTTCACAACACTTAACACAGAGTGGGGCACATAGCATATGTATTTATAATTTTGCAATGTGAATTTCTTTTCATCTTTTATGTTTTCTCTTCCTCCTTCATCTGCAGCTCTTGAACATTTTAGATTTGCGGATTTACATTCCCTTTATCAAAGCTCTGCTTACACCTGACACCCCCCTCTCAGTCTCCCTCTCAGCTTGATGTAGTTTGACTACTTTGAAACTCAGCCCAATTCCTTACATCCTAACACAGCTCCTGAAGGCTAGAGACTCAGTAGGTAGTTTAATCTTATTGTTATAAATATTTGGGGATTTTAGTTTTATATTGTAGCCTACATTAGGAGAAATGAATTAAATGTCAGAAGAAACAACTTCAGCTAAACATTGAAATCTGCTTCTCCAGAAGGTTAATTAGATATGTTTCATCTCCTCCCTTAAAAATACTTAAGAATGAGATCAAACTAAACTCAGCTGATTTAAAGTCACAAGTGTCAGGAGGCATTGTTATGTATGCATATGACCTGGTAACCCCCATGACTCACAGACTTTCTATGTGTTAGAAAATATCTGTTTTCAAAGAGACTTTTTATTGTTTCAATGTATTCTTCAATTTCCTGTGCATTCTCCATTCTATAGTTACATAGATTTGTTAAAGAATGTTTAAAAATTATGCATGTATATATTATAAAATATAAACATATTTAATATTTGTATTATCAGCAAGTGGCTTTTGATCAGTAAAAAGAGAGAAATTATCTAGTAGATGAATTATATGAATTATTAAGCAATGAATCATAATAACTAAAGTCATTTATTTATTATGATCAATCAGCAACAATTAATATTAATAAACAATTATGTTAATTTTATAGATGTGCAATTAACTAGATATTAATAATTAATAAACAATATTTTACCAGCCAAAATATGTGTATTTTTTATCCTTTGTTTTATCACTTTTTCCCATATCATAAAAGTAATATTTTTATGGTTAATGATATGAGAAGAATGTGCCAAATAAAAAAAAAACCTCTCTTCTATCCTTAGTTCCCTTCTCTAAAGTCAACCACACTTAATGATTTCTTACATATACCTTGAGACATTTTCTAAGCTTATGTAAGTACAGTTTGTATAACATTGTTTATCCATTTTTATGCAAATAAGATCATACCATGCATGTTTTTTTTGTTTTGAAGATTACTTTTATATTCATCAATGTATTGGACATCTATATTCTTAATATTATGGTTTAAATTTTTTTATAATTTACGTACCAGGCACTTCCGAAAGACATTTAAATCATTTCTAGTTTTACTCCCCCTCTGACAAATGAGACATTGACTACCTTTATACATATTTGCAGGTGCACACTTTTTTGGCTCCCTTAATCTCCACCTCTGAATTTCTACCTGCTAATCTCTACTTCCCCTAATCTCTACCTCCTCTCCTTCGGGATATATAACAGAATGTCTTATTCTATGCCTCTTAAACTCTATTTATATTTTTTAATATCTAAAACTCTATTTTACATTTTTCATCAATGAGAAAAATTATGTTATTTATCTCCATAAATGCCTCTGGTTGACACTCTTGACAAATTTAATATTTATTTCTAATAAAAACAGTAAAATTATTAATTGGCCATTTCTAAAGCCAGTATCTAACTTAATAGGGAAACACTGCAATTTCTGCTAAAGCTCAAGAGTGAAGCAAGAATGCTCACTATTTCCATTACTATTTAACGCTGTATTAGAAGTAGGGGCCAATGCAATTTTTTTTCAAAAAGAAAATAACTAGGAACATAACAATTAGAAAGAAAGATATAGAACTATATCTATTGGCAGATGATACAGTAATATACTTGGAAGATATATTAGATGATTCCAAGAGAATCAATGACACAAACAATAAAACAAATTTAGTAAGGGAGTAGAATAGAAAATTAATATACAAAATCAACGTGTATACAAACAATAACCAGTTAGAAGATAATGGAAGAGAAAATCTCATTTACAATAGCAACAAATAAGATACAATTTCTAGGAATAAATATTACAATATATGTGAAAAAAATATAAGAAAAACTTTAGCGCACCTCTGGAAGTAGACATAAGCAAATGGAAAGATAGCCCTAGTTTTAAGTGTCAATCTTCATAAAGTAAACAGAAATTTAGCACAATCTCAACACAACTAGCATAATTTTTTCCCTTGAATAAAACAAATTGATTCTAAAGTTTATATTGCAAAAAACCTACTAGACTACATATGAATACCCAGAAAAGAAAAGACTTATGAATGAAAAATAGTCCTTCCAGATAGTAAGACACATTATAACATCTCTGTATTTAAAACACTATGGTACTGCACAAAAGTAGGCCTACAAATGAGTAGAATAAACAAAAATTCAGAAAGTAATACAAGTACATAAAGATGTAAAAATACTGTCTCAAAATGGCATTTTAAACAAATAATATTGGAACAATTAACCAGGCATTTTAACATAGGGAGGAGGCAAGAGAATTAAAAAATGTTAATCAAGCTACTTTCGGAGACTGCAATATGCTGATCAGCCCTGCAGCCAGGCCTGGAGGACACCTTCAGAACAAAGGAAGATTTCTACTGGGATTGCTAACAACCCATTCCCCACACCACTGAAGGGGAAACAGGAACCAACAGTTATTCCCTATGGCTAAAACCATAAGGAATCCATGGATTAAAGGCTGAACA